TTGAGGTGACGCTCGTCGTTCTCCCACCGGGTTGGGATACGTGGCCCTTCTAGATCCTCCCAGGTTTTGGCTCTTCAAGGTCTTATTTCATCATTTTTGGTTCATCTAAGAATGAAGATAATTCCTCATGGAACAATCTATACCGATAGAGAGGAAAAAAAGCTAAAATAAGTAGATAAAATGTCATTTTTAGTGCTTTAAGTGAAGGTTCCTCCATCCCATCCCCTCTCGCACGGGGAGAGCCCAAAGGGTCGAGCTGTGGTTCCTGCCCAGGAGAAAACAAATGTGAAAATTCATGGAAAATAGGAGAAAAACCAAAGTTTTTGGGGCAGGGACTGGTGGAAGGCGAGCAGGAAGGTCTCTTTGCATTTTTAATGTTAAATCGAGAGCAAACGGGGCTAATACTTTGTGAATTATGTTAATTACCCCTCCATTAAAGGGGTAGGTGTTGGGCTGGGGGGTTTTAGCCACTGGGAAGGAAGGGGGACAGTGACTTGGCCAATGCCTTCCCTCGGGATGCTTCATCCCCTTCCTCTCTGGGCTTCCTCCTCATCCTCCCTCTCCTCTTTTTTAATATTTGCTGGATTTTCCATGGATATTGGTCTGTTGGAAGGGGCTGGGGTGCAGCTTGTGCGTTGGAAGTGCTTCCAAATGGCCAAGTAAATGACATTAAATACAAAAATAAGTCGAATAGGTCCTTCCACGCCACTCGAGGAGAAGGGTGGATGGAGACCGGGCGTCGTGGTGGCCATGGGAGGGTATTTCAGAGCATCACAGAATGAGCTGGGGTTGGAAGGGACCTCTGGAGATCATCCAGTCCAACCCCCTGCCAGAGCAGGGCCACCCAGAGCAGGTTGGAGATGAGGTTTGAATGTCTCCAGAGAAGGAGACTCCACCACCTCTCTGGGCAGCCTCTGCCAGGGCTCTGCCACCCTCACAGTGAAGAAGTTCCTCCTCATGTTTAGGTGGAACTTCTTCTGTTCAAGTTTGTGCCCATTTCCTCTTGTCCTGTCCCTGGGCACCACTGAAAAAAGCCTGGCCCCATCCTCCTGACACCCACCCTTGAAGGATTTAGAGGTGTTGATCAGATCCCCCCTCAGCCTTCTCTTCTCCAGACTAAAAAGACCCAGGTCCCTCAGGCTCTCCTCATTAAGAGAGATGCTCCAGTCCCTCATCATCCTCGCAGCCTCTGCTGTCCCCTCTCCAGCAGTTCCCTGTCCTTCTGGACCTGGGGAGTCCAGAACTGGTCCCAGTGCTCCAGCTGGGGCCTCCCCAGGGCAGAGCAGAGGGGCCCCTCCACTTGGTGGCCATGCTCTTCATGATGGCCCCCCAAGAGACCAAGGTCCCAAGAGGACCCCCTCAGTCTTCTCCTCCTTCTCCTTCTCCTTCTCCTTCTCCTTCTCCTTCTCCTTCTCCTCCTCTTGTCCTGTCCCTGGGCACCACTGAAAAAAGCCTGGCCCCATCCTCCTGACACCCACCCTTGAAGGATTTAGAGGTGTTGATCAGATCCCCCCTCAGCCTTCTCTTCTCCAGACTAAAAAGACCCAAGTCCCTCAGCCTTTCCTCAGCAGAGAGATGCTCCAGTCCCTCCTCATCCTCGCAGCCTCTGCTGTCCCCTCTCCAGCAGTTCCCTGTCCTTCTGGACCTGGGGAGCCCAGAACTGGTCCCAGTGCTCCAGCTGGGGCCTCCCCAGGGCAGAGCAGAGGGGCAGGATGACCTCCCTCCACTTGGTGGCCATGCTCTTCATGATGGCCCCCCAAGAGACCAAGATCCCAAGAGGACCCCCTCAGTCTTCTCCTCCTTCTCCTTCTCCTTCTCCTTCTCCTTCTCCTTCTCCTTCTCCTTCTCCTTCTCCTTCTCCTTCTCCTTCTCCTTCTCCTTCTCCTTCTCCCTCTCCTCTCCTCTTCTCTTCTCTCCTCTTCTTCCTCTCCCCTTCCCGGGGGACACAGGAGGATCTTGGAGTAGGTTTGTCCCCATCTCTCTCTCCCCGTGGTTCCTGGAGGAGCTGGGCTGGAGCTGGTCCCTGCGACGGGACAACACAAGAAGGTGTTTTTTTCACCCAAAGCAGCCGTTTCCCTGCCCAGGGGGGAGACAGGAGGCACATGGTGGGACAGATGGAGCCACGGTGTGGATTTCTCCTGTCAGGAACATCCCCCCAGGGCCAGCCCAGGCGAGTGCGGTGACCAGTGGTGGCCTTGGACCTGCCTCAAACCTGTTTATCTCTGTCAGGAGCACAAACCCCCTCCTCTGGAGATGACAATCTGCTGTCACCTCTCTCCGGGCTCCTCCTGGGACAGCAGAGCCCTGTGGTTGCTCAGGGATGTTTCCCCTTCAGCAATCTGCTGGTCAGGAGTTCTCTTCTCTCCCATCGTTTGTCCCATCGATGCCCCATCCCTGGAGGGGTTCAAGGCCAGGTTGGAGGGGGCTTGGAGCAACTTGCTCTGGTGGGGTTGGAACTTGATGGTCTTTAAGGTCCCTTCCAACCCAAACCACTCTATGATTCTATGATTGTTTGTGTTCAGGTGCTGGAAGAGGGAGAAAAGCGTAAGGATTTACCCTGGGATTGTTGGGGGGTTCAGCCTGGAGAAGAGAAGGCTCCAGGGAGACCTTGGAGCCCCTTCCAGTCCCTCAAGGGGCTCTAGGAAAGCTGGGGGTGACTCTTGATGAGGGAGGGGAGCCCTAGGAGGAGGGGGAAGGGTTTGACCCTGAAAGAGGGGAGATGGAGCTGAGATGTGGGGAAGAAACGATGGATGGATGAGTAGGTGGTGGATGGAGAGATGGATGGTGGTGGAGTCACCATCCTTGGATGAGTTCAAGAGTCGTTTAGATGTGGTGTTGGGGGATATGGTGTAGGGAAGAACGTTGTAGAGTGGAGTAGATGGTTGGACTCGATGATCCCAAGGGTGTTTTCCAACCTGAATGATTCTCTGGATGGGTTGAGAGCCTGGCCCAGGTTGGCCCGAGAAGCTGTGGCTGCCCCGTCCCTGGAGGGGTTCAAGGGCAGGTTGGATGGGGCTTGGAGGAACCTGCTCTGGTGGGAAGTGTCCCTGGATGGATCTGGGTGGGCTTGAAGGTCCCTTCCCACCCAAACGCTTCCATGATTCTTCTGGGGGGAGCCAAGTCTGATCCTTTGACTGCTCTTTCCTGGACTATTTGAGGGAGCTGGAGCCTTCCCAGGGTCTCCTGAACCTCAGTTGGAAGCTCCAGATAAAGGCTGTTGGTTACTATTGTGGTTTTTTAGCTGTTGGATCTCAGTCCCAGTTCCCCATGAGCAGTTTGGAGGGGCCAGCACCATGGCTTTGGCACTGGCCACCCCTCCTGTCACAAGGGAAGGTCTGGTTGCCCACCCATAGCCACGTCACGAGAGTTGGCCAACGTAGAGCTTGGCTGAAGCCACCCCCTCGTACCCCAGGGCCTAAGGGGGCAAAACCTTCCATGGGTCATTTTAGGCATCTAATTCTGATGACTAATTAATTGGGTATTTGTTGAAGTTTGGGAAAACCCATCATTTATTGCCTTTTAGACAATTATTCTCTTGCCCAAGGAGCAATCGGGGGAAAAATAAGGGAACACAGGGGTTGAAATATAAGTAGATTTAAGAGGATAAGGCTAAATAATTAACAATAATAGTAAAGAACCAATATTGATCCTGTTAGAAAATACTCAAGGATTGTCCTCATCCCATTCTATGGGTCCAACGTGGGACCTCGGGAGCACTGGGGTTTTTGGGGGGAAGGGAAGGGCTCGGGGCTCCGGCATCGGGGCAAGGAGTTCTCTGGACCCACCACCATGGAGGGAGAGAGAAAACCCCTCAGCAAACTTCCTAATTTCTACGGAATGTGACTTTTTTGGTATGAAATAACCCCGTTGGCAGCTTGGGGTGAGTGCCCGGGTCTCGCTCCTCCTCATCCCCCCACCCGGGGGGCTGGAAAACACCGAGACCTTGAATCCCACCCCCCAGAGCTGGCTGGAAAATGAGTATTTTCCCCAATTCAGACACCGGAGTCTTCTTAAAATGCATTTTTTTACACATTAGGACAAAAATTAGCCCCATGTTGCTCAACCCAGGACAGTGGTTTCTCCAGTCAGCGGGGAGAACTGGGTTCCATCGTGTTTAACACACTCAGGCTCTGGGTTTACTGGCTGGAAATAACTTTAGGGTGAAATATTTGTTTTTTGGGGCTAAGTTTTTTATTGAAACCGCTGTGAGGATGTTTGGATGGATGGAGGAGGGTTTGCAGCTGGGGAGGGTCGGTCTCTTCTCCCAAGGAACAGGCCATGGGACAAGAGGAAACAGCCTCAAGTTGCCCCAGGGGAGGTTGAGGATGGAGATGGGGAATGATTTCCTCCTGGAAAGGGTTGTGAAGCCTTGGCAGAGGCTGCCCAGGGCAGTGGTGGAGTCACCATCCCTGGAGGGACTTCAAAGCTGGGCAGAGGTGGTGCTGAGGGACATGGGTCAGTGGTGGGTTGATGGTTGGACCCATGACCTGGAAGGTCCCTCCCAACCTCCATCATTCCATGATTCTAAGAGTGAGGGAAGATGGATGGTGGGTTTGTCAGTGGTGGGTTGATGGTTGGACTCCATGGTCTGGAAGGTTCCTTCCAAACTTCACCATTCTAAGCTGTGGAGGGACCCTTGATGAGGGAGGGGAGCCCTAGGAGGAGGGGGAAGGGTTTGACCCTGAAAGAGGGGAGATGGAGATGAGATGTGGGGAAGAAATGGATGGATGGGTGGATGGATGGATGGATGGATGGATGGATGGATGGATGGATGGATGGATGGGTGGGTGGATGGATGGATGGATGGATGAGTGGGTGGATGGATGGGTTGAGAGCCTGGCCCAGGTTGCCCCGAAAAGCTGTGGCTGCCCCATCCCTGGAGGGGTTCAAGGCCAGATTGGAGAGGGCTTGGAGCAACCTGCTCTGCTGGGAGATGGCCCTGGGTGGAACCAACTGATTCCTCAACATTTTCATCCCCAACATCCCTCTCTCCTGCCCAGGTTGGTGGTGGAAGGGGCCGACGTCAACGCCAGGCACAGGCTGGGCTGGACCCCTCTGATGGTGGCCGCAATCAGCAGAAACTCCAGGTAGGTTCTTCTCAGAAGAACTCAATAGGTTCTTCCCTTCCCACCTTGAGCTCCACCAAAGGGGTTTCCCAGATAATTTTGGGCTGGTTTGGGCTGCGTTGAGTTAAACCCAGTTTTGGGTTAAACCCAAGGGTTATTTTCCCTCTTCCTTCGCCCAAGAGATGGAGTTGGGCTTCTCCTCCATCCCAGAGAAACGAGGGATGAATTAGGAGGGGATTTTGGCCTCCGATGAGACCGTTGCGTTGGGATGGTCCTTCTTTTCTAACTCCTCACCCTCAGAAATCCCTCCTGGCTCTTCCCAGTCTTTCATTCGAGGTCCTTTATGAAGCCAAAAATAAAAAAAAAGGGGGGGTGGTGGGGCTGAATGCTTCACCCTCCTCCCCCTCAGTTCCCATGCCGGTCGCCGTGGCTTCTCGTAACCTTTTGAAGACGTTCTTAAATATATTCAGTCTACAACTAAATTCAATTAGTTTTGGAGAGGCAGAAAAGCTCTTCGTGCTACAATAATTACCTAAAATCAGGTAGAAATGCTAATTGGATCCATCTCCAACGCCTGCGGCACCTCGTTAGAGCCATAACGACGGCATGAATTATTTGGGCTAAAAAAAAACCCACAAAAACCCCGACTTTTTGGCCACCGTTGGGTCGATGGGGTATGGTTTATATCCCACGTTTTGGGTGGATGTGGGCGTTAATTGGAAATTAAGAAGTCGTTGAGTATGCAAAGATCGGGAGGATTCGTGTCCAGTGACACGGGGGGAGGTTAATGAGGTACTTCGTGGAGTTTGAAATTTGGCTTTGAGTTTGGAATTCAGGTTTAGGTTTGAAATTGGGGTTTGGAGTTTGATATTCAGGGTTTGAGTCTGAAATTCAGGTTTGGGTTTGAAATTCAGGGTCTGAGTTTGAAATTCAGGGTTTGAATTTGAAATTCAGGGTTTGAATTTGAAATGCAGGGTTTGAGTTTGAAATTCAGGTGTGGGTTTGAAATTCAGGTTTGAGTTTGATATTCAGGGTTTGGGTTTGAAATTCAGGGTTTGGGTTTGAAATTTGGCTTTGAGTTTGAAATTCAGGTTTGGAGTTTGAAATTCAGGGTTTGAGTTTGAAATTCAGGGTTTGGGTTTGAAATTCAGGTTTGAGTTTGAAATTCAGGGTTTGGGTTTGAAATTCAGGGTTTGAGTTTGATATCCGGGTTTGAGTTTGAAATTCAGGTTTAGGTTTGAAACTCAGGGTTTGAGTTTGATAATCAGGGTTTGAGTTTGAAATTCAGGGTTTGAGTTTGATATCCGGGTTTGAGTTTGAAATTCAGGTTTGAGTTTGAAATTCAGGTGTGGGATTGAAATTCAGGTTTGAGCTTGAGTTTGAAGTTTAGGTTTGGGTTTGAAATTCAGGGTTTGAGTTTGAAATTCAGGGTTTGAGTTTGATATTCAGGTTTGGAGTTTGAAATTCAGGGTTTGGGTTTGAAATTCAGGTTTGGGTTTGAAATTCAGGGTTTGGGTTTGAAATTGATGTTTGGAGTTTGAAATTCAGGGTTTGAATTTGATATTCAGGGTTTGGGTTTGATATTCAGGTTTGGAGTTTGAAATTCAGGGTTTGGGTTTGAAATTCAGGGTTTGAGTTTGAAATTCAGGGTTTGAATTTGATATTCATGTTTGAGTTTGAAATTCAGGGTTTGAATTTGAAATTTAGCTTTGAGTTTGATATTCAGCTTTGAGTTTGATATTCAGCTTTGAGTTTGAAATTCAGGCTTAGGCTTGAAATTCAGGTTTGGAGTTTGAAATTCAGGGTTTGAGTTTGTTCCTAAGTTTTGATTTTGAAATTCAGGTGTGGGTTTGAAATTCAGGTTTGAGCTTGAGTTTGAAGTTTAGGTTTGAGTTTGAAATTCAGGGTTTGAGTTTGATATTCAGGGTTTGGGTTTGAAATTCAGGTTTGAGTTAGAAATTGAGGTTTGGAGTTTGAAATTCAGGGTTTGAGTTTGAAATTCAGGGTTTGAGTTTGAAATTTGGCTTTGAGTTTGAAATTCAGCTTTGGAGTTTGAAATTCAGGGTTTGAGTCTGATATTCAGGTTTGGGTTTGAAATTCAGGTGTGGGTTTGAAATTCAGATGTGGGTTTGAAATTGAGGTTTGAGTTAGAAATTCAGGTTTGAGTTTGATATTCAGGGTTTGGGTTTGAAATTCAGGTTTGAGTTTGAAATTCAGGTTTAGGTTTGAAACTCAGGGTTTGAGTTTGATAATCAGGGTTTGAGTTTGAAATTCAGGTGTGGGTTTGAAATTCAGGTTTGGAGTTTGAAATTCAGGTTTGAGTTTGAAATTCAGGTGTGGGTTTGAAATTCAGTAGGTTTGGGTTTGAAATTCAGGGTTTGAATTTGATATTCAGGGTTTGAGTTTGATATTCAGGGTTTGGGTTTGAAATTCAGGTGTGGGTTTGAAATTGAAGTTTGGAGTCGTTTGAAATTCAGGGTTTGAGTTTGAAATTCAGGTGTGGGTTTGAAATTCAGGTTTCAGCTTGAGTTTGAAGTTTAGGTTTGGGTTTGAAATTCAGGGTTTGGGTTTGAAATTCAGGGTTTGATTTTGAAATTCAGGTGTGGGTTTGAAATTCAGGTTTGAGCTTGAGTTTGAAGTTTAGGTTGGGGTTTGAAATTCAGGTTTGAGTTTGATTTTGAAATTCAGGGTTTGGGTTTGAAATTCAGGTTTGGAGTTTGAAATTCACGGTTTGAGTTTGAAATTCAGGGTTTGAATTTGATACTCAGGTTTGAGTTTGAAATTCAGGTTTGAGCTTGAGTTTGAAGTTTAGGTTTGGGTTTGAAATTCAGGTTTGAGTTAGAAATTCAGGTTTGAGTTTGAAATTCAGGCTTAGGTTTGAAATCCTGGTTTGATTTTGACTTTGACTTTGAAGTTCAGGTTTGAGTTTGAGTTTGAAATTCAGATTTGTTCTCCCAAGTCCTGGCTGGATCTCGGGGTGACCCGTCCTTCCCCTCCTGATGTCTCCCCGTTGTCCAGAGCCTTTCCCATGGGCACCCACAGTCTCCCAATCCCAGTAAACCCAGCCTCCCCAGTGACCTGTGAACTGGGAGAGGGACCAGCACTTCCAGCAGCTCCAGGACCAGTTAGAGGTTTCTCTCCCATCTTCTCAGCTCCAGGGGATGGCTCTCCTGGCAGGGGGTTGACACATGATGATCTTCAAGGTTCCCTTCCAACCCAACCGTTCTGTGATTCCATGATTCTCCTGGAATTCTGTTCCCAGCTGGAATCTCCCTCTGCAGAGCCAGGTCAGCCTGGAGATAGAGGCTTTGGCATCTTGTAGAATGGAATGGTTTGGGTGGGAAGGGACCTTAAAGCCCACCCAGTTCCACCCAGGGACACCTCCCACCAGAGCAGGTTGCTCCAAGTCCCCTCCAACCTGGCCTTGAACCCCTCCAGGGATGGGGCAGCCACAGCTTCTCGGGGCAACCTGGGCCAGGATCTCAACTCATCCATCCATCCATCCATCCATCTTTCCATCCATCCATCCAACCAACCATCTTCTCATACCTCCATCCATTTCCTCATCCCTCCATCCCTCCATCCCTCCATCCATCCATCCATCCATCCATCCATCCATCCATCCATCCATCCATCCATCCATCCATCCATCCATCCATCCATCCATCCATCCATCCATCCATCCATCCATCCATCCATCCATCCATCCATCCATCCATCCATCCATCCATCCATCCATCCATCCATCCATCCATCCATCCATCCATCCATCCATCCATCCATCCATCCATCCATCCATCCATCCATCCATCCATCCATTTCCTCCTCCCCCCCTCCCTCCCCCCATCCAACCATCCATCCATCTCCCCATCCC